ATCTTTTGATGAAATTATGGACTGTAGATGATCAAATATCTAAATTTCTTGCAATTGTGCGTTGAGAAACAAGTGCAACACCACCCCTTACTCTTCTGTCAAAGACTTGTAAAAATAGCACACCCTTTGGTACTGATGATGTTGTGGGCTGTTTGAAAACCAGCATGGATTTCCACAAAAAATTTGACTGCACAAAAGCAATTTTGGAAGTAACAGTCCTCACCATAAACATCCCTCTTTTGTCAAGCAGTTTAACATTACATGCAACATGGGAGCTAAAAAGAGTTAAGCTAGCAGGTTACGGATGTCATCCAGAGCACATGAGTCTCTCCATGCATGGTATACATGTATGGAACAAAAACCAGTTGCCTTTAACTGCCAAAAGTAGAGTTGTTTCTGTAACACCAGTAATTTACTGTAGCATCTACTTTGAATAAAGTGGATATGTACAGTACTTGTATCATTACATACTAAATCATGGCAAGCCATCCTACAGTTGTTGAGATATTTCAGACTGGACCAAAGTGAAGGACGGACCAACTGACTCCTTTGGCCCTTATTCTGACATCAAACCTTTAATAAAATTCAGTACATCAGTGGAAGGCAGGGGTGCTCTGGAAATGTTGGGCCCCCTGACAGTAGCTCAACTTGCTGTTAACCAAATCATTTCTTATAATGCTTGGCTTTTTTCAGAAACCTGATGCTGCTTTCAGCCCTGCTGTGGTGCCCTTGCTTGTAGGTACATTGCATCTGTTAGTATGTGAGAAAATGCTTTGATGCTTCACTTCAGCCTTATGAGTTGAGCCCATGAAGACACTGGCACAGCTTGAAGTCTTGCTTCAGTGTGCACGAATGGCCGCTGACTCTGTAAAACTGTACAACTCCAGCTGGGACCAAAACTAAGGCAATCATACTTTTTGAAACTGAATTAGGGTATTTATCCTCCATTGCCAGACAGTGTCAGAATCACAAAGATGCATTTAATTTCCAATTCCACGATTACAATAAATTCAATAATCCTTAGAATAGGAAACCAACAGGGGGTCAGAGCTCCCAGCTAAAGAGTCCTCTGCCATAAAATAAGTGAAATGGACCCATTTCCAATTTAATTTTCAATATAAATAAGGAACAGTGGATTCCTTGAAAATTGGACTGGATTTTCTGAAAATGTTTTATTGGGCACATTCATGTAAAATTTAGATTATATAGATATAGTTTTACTAATAAATGGTACAATAACCATTTATCCATGATTGTTTTAATTTAGGACAACAACCTTTTATTCAGCCAATCCTTTAATTAATGGTTAATGATTTACATCAGTTTTGACGTGACTTCAAGGAATTCACGTTAAATGTTAATAGTGGTAGCTTGTGACTAAAGTACAGTATATTTCAATTCCTTTATAGGTTCTTCTGGTTGCTTTTTATGACACCACCTCATTCTTTCTCCTATATTTTTAATTATAATAGAGTCTTTGTGATGTACCATGTTTTAAACAAGTAAAATAAACCTTAATAACTTCTGTAGCTGAACAACTACAATCCTTAGTAAGATTGTAATAAACTAAAATAAAAACATCAGAGATGGTGTAAATAAATAAAAAAAATTAGAAAATCAAATCCAAACTGTTTATGAAGAAACAGGATACATTATTCATTTAAAGACACCCCTCTTATTGTCCTCATACACATGACCTAATGGTCTATACACTGACTACACTGACCTGAATCTTAATTTTTGGCCATAATCCCACTTTAAAATGAATGCAGGAGGCACAGAACTCACATTTATCAAACCAATACATTCAGCAGCATGCTACGAGTCTGCAGGTCTGTAAAAAATAAATGGGTACTGCTTTTTCAGTCACAAACATGTGTGGTGTGGTGGACTGTTTGATTCAGTGATAACCAAGTGAGACTGAATTTATTATAACCCCAGTCTAAAACCCTATGGCATGAACGATGTTGTAAGCGACTTGCAAACCTTCAGAGACTTCCACAATAAATTAGCCTGCATGATAGGAGCTGTAGCAGTAGCTCCACTCAACCTAAACACCTCTCTTTTGACATGTGGTAACTTAGCTGCTTCCTGACGTAATGCAGGGCAACTTTTACTTCAACAGAGTGGGAGATTGAGAGTTTAAACATAGTGTAAAGGTCTGATCCACCAGACAATAAGGAACACTTGGGATGCCATTTGCTCCGTTGATGTCCTGGGCTACGGTGCCTGTACCCCATGCAGTGCTGAGTAACACAGTCATGAATGCAAACCTGAGCATGAGGGTGTCTGATCTGTATGAAAAAACAGAAAGTCAAAATTTACCATGTGGAGAAAGCTCTTTTCAATTTGGAATTTTTCTCTGAACCTGAAGTACTCATAATGTAGAGTTAACAGAAGGCAGGATAAAAGGAATTTAGAAAATTGTTTAAAAATGTAATAAATTGACTGCAAGGAGAGATTTTTAGAGTAAAACGCTGTGAAATTCTGAAAAAAACCTACTGGGACCAGACAGAAAGATGCTGAGCAATATTGTGCAATGAACATTTTATTACAAAAAACGATGCAAAACCTCAGCCTCCAAACGCTAGCATTGCACTGTTCAGTTTGTGATTTGAGACAACTCTTCAAACAACCATCAATAAACCTTTAATTAAGCATCCAAACGTACATCTCACAGATGAAACCTGGGCAAACGCTTCATTTCAGCTGTTTATTTATGCTTATATTGAGTCAAGCCTTCATGGCTGGACACACACAATCATATTGCCAAGGTTGTCTAGGTGTGTAAAATTAAACACGAATGGAAATGATGAATGTGTGCAAGCTTGTTTCACAGCTCTTCTGTAAGTTGTTACAGTTTAATTCTTTCCTAGGGCAGAACTGGAATCTTTTATCTCAGTTACACATCAGCACACATGTGCACAGCCCAACACACCCCAGCAGAAGGGAATAGGCTAAAATGAACAGCAGTTCTTTCCTAATGTGAGAATAATACAACATGAGCGCATGTAAGGGACTGCAGATTGTGTGTGCAGATAATGTTGTTAAATGCAAGATAACAGGATGTTTCTGACTAAATGTTCTGCTTTGGGCAGAAATAGCATTGCATATTTCTCTTGTAGCACCAGACCCTGTCATGGCGGCAGCTGCTACTACCTCCTCTCTTCCCTCTTCTGCCTCCAGATCATCTGATTAGTGCTGTACGTATAAACCTCTCCTGTTGTTCCAGATCAGCCATTCTGTACCCAGTGGTAGAAAGTAACTAAGTAGATCTATTGTACCTAAATACAGTTTTTAGGTATTTGTGCTTTACTTGACTATTTTCATTCTCTGCTACTTCATACTTCATTACATTTTAGAGGTAAATATTGTACTTTTTACTCCACTACATTTATTTTATAACTTTAGTTGCTAGTTACGCTTCAGAATCAGATAATATGAAAAATACAGTATGGTTATAAGACTTTATTGATCCCCAGCAGTAATTAAAATTAAAAGCAACATTAAATGTGATGTAGACAATAATGCATTGGCCGATAATATCATATACATTAATGTCAAATGTGCCATTCTTTCACTTTTAGTACTTTAAGTATGTTTTGATGCTAATACGTTTGTACTTTTCTTATGCAACATTTTGAATGCAGACTTTTACTTGTAACAAAGTATTTTTACACAGTTGTATTACTACTTTTATTTAAGTAAGGGGTCTGTCACTGTCAGTACTGAGTTTCCCACCTGATCCAGCTGCCTACCCAGTTATCTGTTCACATTGAGGGCACCTCTTTTTCACTCTTTGCCAAACTGCGTATGCTGCCGTAGTTTATTTCTGTTGTACATGCTTGGTTGGCTATTATGAACCAGCTTTAGCCCTCATTTTATTGGTGACTGTAACCCTGTTTTAGATCTAGCCAAGACTGTTTTTATCACACCTGTCTACCCGCTCCACTTTTGGCTGTATGATTTAATGTTCCAGTGTTGGCACTTGTATATGTAAGTGTGTTGACTTTGAATGTGGTAAAATAATTAGGTTAACCTTACTCTACTTACTATTGTGTATGAACATACAATATGTACATGTAAGTGTGTGTATGAAGGGTGATAAACTTAAAAAAACAAAAGTGAAATAAAAATACTGTGAGGCAGAAAACCCCCGTCAGTAATGGAATCCGTTTTTGGCAAGGTGAATGATGAGATTTACTGGTTATACTGGTCTTTTAAAACTGGTACAAAAGTACTGGATGGTTGATCATTTTTAACAAATACCCCACAAGAGTGAAATAAGGTAGTATCAGGCAAGACAAAACCCCTTTCAGCGTACACATTTGCATGCAGACAGAGGAAGGTAAGTTTGGCCAGCAAGCTATTTGTGCTAGAAAACAGAAAGATCAATAACATCCTGAAAAGAGAGCAACCTCAGGGATATAATCGTACCTCTTGAAGAGAGAAGAGAGAGAAAAACAGAAACTACTGCCTATGTTTATCAAAACAATGAATTTCAGCTGGGGATATCAATCTATTTTTCACCACACTGTGTGGAAAAGATACAGCACAAACATGAAATTTATGGGGATTTTTTTTCAACGCTTAAAGGAAATAAACATTAAAACCACAGAGACCTGTACATTTGGCTGAAATAAACTATACATTTTTCTTGTTTTGTTTGGCTATTGCACAGTGAAGAGTGTGCAGCACTGACTGGTCGAATTACACAACCACACACCAGCTGAGCAAGGACAGCACTACTGTGAATATGGTTTTTCCCCCTAACGTACTAATTCTACATGCCAAGGCGAATATAAGGAGGTTTGTTCCAAACAGTAGGTATTTTCCAAAATTAGAAAGCTTTTCTGCAAAATCAGAACATGAAATAATGTTGATCACCTGTATATTTAAAAAATATATTATGTACATTACAGTTTACTTTTTTTTTTTTAACCTCAGTGCTATGATTGAATGAAACCCTCCATGATTAGCAACCCATGTGACTTCAGAGGTCAGAATTTGATGACTTTGCCCTCAACGATCTCCTCCCTTGATCGGGTCCTCTCCCAGCCCTGTCGAATGCGGGTGAGGGTGTGGTCCACACAGGGCAGGAGGAGCAGCACCTTGAGGACCAGCACCACAGAAGGTACAATCAGACTGAGCATGTAACCTGGAGGAGTGTACCATTTGTAGGTAGAGGGAAGAAGAAATTTCTTCCAGCCGTATATATATCCATGCGCCGTGCATATGAACAGTGTCAGGTGGCCCAGCTTAGACTGAGGGGGGAAAACACACAGACACAAACACACACAGTGTCACATTTTAAGAAATATTGCTTTTTATGTCCAGAGTTAGATGAGAAGATATGTAAGATATAACACAGTAAATAAGACACTAGTTAACTCTGGGGGTTTATTCAAGAGTGTGATCAGTCTGAGAACATAATGGTGCCCTGTCCTCGCATTCAAATATACAGTAGTGCTGCTTGCACAAATTTCCTGTGCTGTGCTTTCTCCTTGCCTTCAAGCTGCTGCCGTATGTTCAGGCAAATTTCTGATCTCATTCTGAGATTTTTGTGAAATAACCCTGGCAAAATTCCTCAGCCAGTAGAACGCCAGGTTTCAGATGCATATGCTTTATTTCTGAGTGCATTTTGTGTGCCTCAAGTGCTACAATGAGATAAAAATACAAATTGTTACACAAACATTTTTTATAGCACCAATGGCCTTTGAAGATCAGCTGTCGTTAATTAATTGGATAATATGCTTTCATTTCCATTCCTAACATTTTTCTGCAGCTTAGAATCAGTGTAAAGAGCCCAAAAATGAAACATTCATATTAATGTGGCACAGTAATGAACTCTAATGCCCCTATAATGATAATCTAACATTTTATTTAACCAACATAAAACAACAGATTCTTTTGTTGTGAGTGTGAACATTCCTCTGTAGATAACCCTGAACATGCAGCAACAATAAAACAAAGTTTATGTAAATTGTTACCAATTATTTTACGACTTTCACAAGTTTGCTCACTAGATCATAAAGATCATCTTGACCTAGACCTCTGTCTCTGAGTCTCATTCCCTATGCCAGGTCTACCTATGGGCCTGACCTTTACACAAGTGGACCTGTGACCTCTATTAACAATCTTCTGGCTGGGGATTATTCAAGGTATCATAATTCTATTTAATGAATAACTTAACATTTAAAATCCTGGGCTAGAGTCGGCCAGTCTTTCACTCTGTGCTCCTGTGTTAGGCAGTTAGTTAAACAGTCTCAGGATCATGATAATGCTTCTACATCATTTTAATAACTCTGATGAAAACTGGCAAACTCCAAATATGGTTTATCACAATGATTTTCAAAAGATGTTTTCACTAAAAGTAAGTACATGGCTACTAATATTTGTAGGGGGTAAAGGAGAATGCAAATACACACACAGCAATGCACATAAAGCACAGTACATTTCCAACTATGCTCAGACCTGAATGAAGCTGAACTCTCTCCAGCTGAGTGAGCCTCCCACCGAGGGCAGGGATGTTATTCCTAGCAGGACATAAAGAAAGAAGCCCAGGATTCCCAGCGCATAAAACGAGTCTGTGCCCCAGGCCTTTGTGTTATCAAAGAAAAATGGGGTGGTTTTGTTTTCCTTCAACTAAAAAAGAGAAAAATAAAGAGACAGTATGGTGAATCCCCTGCTTAATGATAGTTTATGTCATGCTTCTCTGGACAGAATTGTAGAAACAGTGCAAGAGCTTTGAAGCAGCCTGCTGTACCTCATCCACAACGAGCGAGATGAGGTTGCGTTTGGCAGTATAACGAATAGGAATGATCAGTGTGTAGATGGCATGGAGAAACGCAAAGCCCAGTGCAACCAGACCCATCTGCTTCCGGCACAGCATCCAGGAGTTCAGCCAGTCAGGGAACTGACTGGAACAATGATACACCTTTTACAACAAATTTCACAGGTAGTGAACTTTTATTTTCCTGGTGTGGTGTCTGACCTGTACTTGGTCCCTCTGTAGAGCTGAAGGATGGCAGCTATGATACCAGGCAGGTAACACAGCGACAACATGATGAGAGACACGATAGAAAATACCTGTTGATAGGAATAAACACATAACTTTGAAGGGAATACAAAATACCTGTCTACAGGACACTATAAAGATGGGGGACAGATTTTTACCTTATTGGCCAGAGACACCATTATTTTGAAGGAGGTGTCCTTCCCCCGTTCAACATATGAGTAAACAACATCTCTAATGAGCAGATAGAAGAAGAAGAAGGCAGTAAGGCCGACCGCCACGCGGAGCGGCAGCCTCCACTCAGGGAACAGCCGCAGGGGATAGTCCTCCAGCTCTCTGGCCGCAGACAGAGACCCCCTGTCCAGAACAGTGAGGCCGAGCTTGGTAGCCATTGCTGCTACTGCCTGCTTTGCTTCTCCACTGTTCCCACACAGGTACACCTGGAGCATGGAGGCATGGGTTGCAGTATAGTCACAAGCTCCTTAAAGGAACAGACTGGCAATATGATGTGTCTGTGTAGCTGTCAATAAATACCTTAAATACCATCTGTCATTGCTTCCCGATTTCTAGACCCTGCCAGTGGTTTTGCCACTCAGCCCCAAACTCATCAGTTCCAAATGGAAATAAATCTTTTTTCAATATATTTTTATCTGTGCAGTTTATCAGTCAGAAATTTTAAAAATCAAATGCATCTTTCTCTAATATGTTTCTGATTAATAATAATATAGAGATGTGTTCCATTTCCAAGCTTTTGTTGTTCAGTTGCTAATAATTACTTTAAGGTTATTAGATGACTCACCAGCTCTGTTGGAATGTACATGGCATGGCTGCACTGTGTGTGCCTACAGTGTCTGTCTACAGAATTACCCTTGTTGGGTTGATCTCCCCAGTGCTCGTTTATATGAGGCTCCTGAAAGTGTAGCACTATATATACTGTATATATACATATATTACTCAGTGTGTAACCCCCTTTTAGATCTTACTATGATGAACCACATTACCAGCTCATAGCTGTGTGATAAGACAATTAAGATGTTTACAAAGGGAATAAACAGAATCATAGAGATAGCTAAAGTGTGTTTTGGAGAGAGGGATAGCAGTTTGACAAGCATATAGTGGAGTCAGGAGGGCTGAGCAGTTTTCCCCCAGGTGTGTATATAAGTGGACCGGGCAGCCAGCCATGTCTCCCTATATTACTGCACCTGTAACAGCAGGGGAGGGCCGACAGACTAAATCTCCATCTGAATGTAAATGTGACAGAGCCACAGCCCCGCTGTGGATCTAATCAAATTGCTGGCCGGGGAATAGCACACACTTACAAGCATGTGCGTGTAGGTGTGCATGTACTGTACCTACACAAGCACTGATAAAGTCACGCACACCCAAACACACTGCTCCTGCTCTCTTGCTCCCTTACTCCTGTTTTCAAAGAAAATGGAGCACTGCAGTGGTATATGTATGTACGTAAGAGAGTGTGTCTGTTTTCGGGGGGTTGTTTGTGTTGAAGAGGATTCGAGGCAGATTCAGGTTTGGTCTCCAGAGGTTCGAACATGTTTGTGTTTCTCTTTGTACTGTAGCTGTGAATTGGAAGCTGCAAAAAGCATTGGTCTTCTGACTTTGTAACATCATAAAGTGTGTTTATTTCATTGTTTATAAAAGCACTGTCCTCATTTTATTATGTGTTGTTAAGGAAAGATGGCAAAATCAATCACCTGCAGCCATGCCAGCTTCCTTCCATAAAATTTGCATTCTGTATGGTGAAGCTATCTTTTTCCCACTACTAACAAGTCAGAAAGCCTATTTTCCCATTCTGTTCCAGGAGAGGATGAAAGCAGTTATTGTTGCCTGGACTGAAGTCAAGCATGTCTCATCAAGAAAAGATCGAGCTGGTAATCTCCCCTCCTGTTGCCACTCTGTCTTCATATCTTTACTCTAGTCAAACAAAGCCTTCCTTAAGGCTTGGAAGCTTCCTGCCGCTGTTTTGCCTTGATCCCACTGACATCTTTTAACGGATTCCTTACCCCTACGTCTCTCTCACCTGTTTTCCTGCCAGAAGTCCATTCTGCAGGGCCCAGGCAGACAGTGTGTGAAGGCCTTTTACCACAGCAGCTCCAGGGATCAGCCTGAAGAACACCCAGTAAGGACTTTACTTACTATTGTTTTTGTCTACAAATGTACAGATGAGGAAGGAAGGGTCTCAGAATGGTGAGAATCAATGTTTCCACTTCAGCTGAATAGACACCGAGCAGGCTGCTCTACCAAGGGAGATGCAACCCTGCAATTTTTTTTTTTTACTTCTTTTGGATTGACTGGAGAAATTTGATGTCTCATGCTCAAGGTGGTGTTAAGGAGCACTTTCCCAGAAATATGTCACTGTCATGGATAATACATCCAGCTTTCAAAAAAAGTAACACATACTGCAAAGTGCTTTTTGACAGTAAACCAGGATTTATATGGGGAACAGTTAGGTTCTTTCTATATTATTATTGTACAAATAAATAAATGGGAGGGGTAATTATTTGTATGTGCAGTATATTCATGAGTGAGACACCCATGAGATTATTTCTATGCTTTCATCAGAGTCTGTTACCTTTGCAGGTAAGTAGCATTGGCTTCTGGGTACATGTCTTTCTTCAGGTTGTTGCTGACGTCGACCAGCACCTTATTATCAGCCCGTCAGCATCGACAGGAAAGATAAAACCAAAGAAAAAACAGTTAAATTTGTTCATTTAACTCTTATCTTATCTCCTACATATTCCCTTCTTCATTACAGCAAAAAGAGAACACTCCTTTTCTGCACAGTGTTACAAAATAATGTGCATAATAATCTATGTGTGTAAAATTGAGCAGATCTCGTCCTAGAGTAATTACAAATGCAGTAATTCCTCAAGTTTGATTTTCATGTTCTAAAACCTCATTAACTTCATAATCTGAGTTTTATTTTCCTGTTCAAATATCTTCATCATTTGTTTACTTATTCTTTTTCTATTTTTTGGTATGTCAGGCATTAAAATTACAAATGAACGCAACAGTGTAACTAGTTTAAGGAAAAGCAATAGAAAGCTAGTGTTAAAGGAAAACCTTTTAATTAATTTATGGTTTTGGTGTAATTTCATGACAATAACAACCCTAACATATTGGTTATGTGAGGATTTTATAGCAAAACATAACAACACAATATACAGAATACAGAACTGAGGAGCATGTAAAAAATAAATCTGGAGGTAATGGGACATTAATGCATTGCTTATAAGTTTGAATCCAAGACCAGGATCACATTGTGGCTAATGCTAAATTTCTGCAGAACAAACTGTTAGAACTGTTAGTGTTAGTCGCTACCTGTGAATCAGCAAACTCTCCTCTTATTTTTTTATCTTGGAGATTGTAAGATAAACTTGATGGGGCTCAAGATAATTTAAAGAGCAGAAAAGAAGACAAAACCTATTGCTATTGCACAAAATAAGGTGTTTTCTGAGTGTGTGTGTTGTATTCATAGGAAAGAATCTAAGGGGGAATTACTAGTCTCTGATGGATGTTCTCACTGGTCAAGGACAAACGTAATGAGTCTACTTTTCATTTAATAGGCTCACAAGGTGAAAAGGGTTATGGATCACTGACATGAATCAGGCATGTAAGCAAAAAAATAACCATTACCTCTTTGTTATACCGTGTACATATCAGCTACTGTGTCTCCTCAAATCAAGTAGTGCACCACAAGTTATTACTAAGAAAGCATCATTATTACTCCTTGCATTTACTTAATTTTTTTAATGCAACCGCCCACAAAATAGCAACTTACTGTATACGTACATAATATAGTTTTGGTTGTTTATTGTTAACAGTCAATTTAGCACCTGATTCAGTGTTTATTGGGAACAAAATATTGATTGTCAATTTGTAGATTCACAAAAGTGGAGGAATTAAAAGAAGTACACACTAGTTTTATAACATAATGTCTCGCAAACTGTTCTCAAGTAATTTGTTCTATATTCCTTAATAAGTATACTGAAATACTTAAAACTACGGCATTAGCTGTTCTTCATTTGTGCCTTAGTAACAAATCAGGGTTTTGTGTATCTTATAAAGATCTTAGCATCAAACCCAGAGTCACCTTTCCTTCCAGATGAGGTGCTATTGTCTCTAGAAATCCGTAGTGTTCTCTATGAACACAAATAAAGACCAAGCTGGCTGAATGGGCTGCTGCTGTGTGGCTCATCACCTGAAAAGTACACACATTCGCCACATTAAGACACATCAGCATGTTTGAGCTGCATGCAAAAACCCTTTTGTACAGTTTGACAATCTCAAAATGTTATGTTATGCCACGTGTTGTACCTGAGCTCCCTGAGGCAAGGGGCCACAGCTGCGAGGTCTGCGGCTGCCCTATACCACCCTGTAGCCCGTCTGGAGCAGGGGCTGGCCCAGAGCCCGAAGTCCCCCGTCCCAAAGATACACAGCAGCTCTGGCTCAGGGGCAGCAGCCGTACCCAGAGGATACAGTGACACGCTCTCTGGCTTCACCTCCTCTGACATGCCACTCACCATTGTCATGCACACACACTGAGTTTAGATGGTTGGTGTTGCCTGCTGTCACTGCTGTTGAATCTGACTTGTACACGGCCTCTCCCTCTTTGTTTTGGAGCATTCATAACCACGTGTGATTTTAACTCCTTTCTGCCCGCTTTATACGTGCGTTTGAGTTGGTGTGTGTGTTTGTTTATTACAGCTGCAATCAGCACATGAATACAGGTGTGTTGAAGTGTGTGAGCACAAATGCCACTTGTCACAGAGTTATCACTCCACTCAACGATTTTAGGAAGTATTTATGCTTTTATTATTTGAGCTTTCCGGTGATTGACTGATACAGCAGGACTTTAGACTCCAGATCAGTCTTAAGGAGGACAATCTACACTTTATGGATGTAACTTTAACCTCTGATTTTTTTCACATTTTATCACATTTTAGAAACACAGATGTCTTTAAAGGCAATAGCTAGTTCAGCCTGAATTTGACTTTCACATTTCAGAGAAAAAATAAATCTTATGCTGCTGCTTTCCAGGGCTGCCTTAGTCTATTTCTTCTGTTTCCACACTAGGCATGGTGCCATGTGGGAGATCCCAGCCCACAAATTCATCATCATTTCAAAACCCACTGTTCCATCCAACCAAAAAGACTGGGAAGAGAATTTGTGTAAATTTAGTGTTCATGTCCCCATGGCTAAAACATCTGCAAAGTTGTGACATGAACAGACGCAACAGAGCAGAAATGAAGCACGGCACATATGCAAGTGTTTTCTGTGAGGCTACTCTACTTTGTATGAATGCATGGCTTTGCTTGTAAGTGTTTATCAGCATGTCTGTGTGCGGCCATGTATGTGAGTGTGTGCACTGAAATGGGTCAGGATAATCAGAGCTAAACAGATTTTCAGCTGTGATCTGCGGCACCTGGGGAGCTGGATCTGCAGATGGGGTGACTACCTGGCTATAGAAATGACACATAGCATCACATCAACTTTAGTTGAGTGTTTGCACAAAAAAAAAAAGCTCCTCACCATAAAAGCAGCCTCATTGAAATCACAATGTGTACATACATAGCCAGCGATATTTATGGCAGAGAAGTAGCATGTTACCTCAGGAGCTTTTACAGTCAAGTCCATAACTAAAACATTAATGTCTACCTGGGGGGATATTGCAGCAAAATGAGAAATCATTTTATGCCTTACCTTTAAGGCATCTATTCACTTGTAGCGCTGTTAGAATAGACCTGATAGAAGATCCACGCCGATGACTCATTTACCAGCTCTGCCTCCGGGACATCTCGCTTTCCTTCTCTTCCCTCGCCGCCTAAAACTCTTGCCCTTTATGTACCTTCACATTTTCTTTTCCATCTTTACTTTGTCATTCTGCCTTTAATGCTCTCCCAGCTCTCCCCTCCAACCTTCCTCTAAATTAACAGCAATTGATTTCACTGAACAAATTCAGGTGAAGCTGCCTGTACTGATGTCATTAAAAACCATGTCTGTGTGTTTAACACAGAGTTAAGTAAACTTAAAGAGGAACGTTCACACACACAAACACAAGTGCACAGTTGGAAAGTACTGTAACTAAGGACATTGACTCAAGTATTGTACTTAAGTGCAATTTTGAGATACCTCTTTATTACTTATGCGATGTACACAATAATACATCAATAATTATAGTTCAGTAACATGATATACATTGATGTGTAATGAGCTGTTCTTCAGAATGAGTACTTTAACTTTTAGCACTTTAAGTTTATTTTATTCTAATACTTTTGTACTTGTACTTAAGTAACATTTTGAATGCAGGACTTTGACTTGTAACAGCACATTTTTACACTGTGGTATACTTTTACTTAAGTAAACAATCTAGGTACTTCCTCCACTACTGCACATGTGCTTGCCCCAACCAGCACTGAGAGTTCAGCTGTGGTTGGTTTGATGACATTTGTGGTTACTGGCAAGACTGTGAGTGAAAATAAACACTACAAGGAAGTAAAGACCACATATGCAAGTTATTATGGATGTATATGGAAACAGTGGCTTATTTACACAAAGAGAACTGAAGTCAAAGTGTATGTAAGTCCTGTATTCATTCTCCTTTGAGCTCTGTTTTGCACTCAGTCCAACACAGAGGAAGGTATTTGGCTTCGGAAGTGCAGGCCATACTGATACTTCTCTTTCCTTTCACGTTACACAGTCATTAGGCCTGTTGTTAATAGAAAATAAATTAAAGCAGTGTTAAGGATTAGAATGCCAGCTCTAACCAGTAAATGTCAAACATGATGAATGTAGCCACAACCTAAACCAAACACACTTTTTCTCACTGATGGAGCTTGATGATGGAGGTGCACTGTTTGGGACGAGGCCTTGCCTGAGGGGCTAAGTCCAGCTCCAAAATTTGTTTCCAAGTGTAGAATGACAAACTTACAACACACCTCTAGAAGGTTCCAGAGTTGAGTTTGTGAACGTCTAAACATGTGAGACTGTTGTGCTTTGCAGTGATGCATTGTGGGACAGGTTCACATCAAGCTCCCGTTGAACCGACATTTTATTACTGTCAGTGTGGAGTTGCAGTTTAAAGCTAGGGTGAAAAACTGAGCTCATATTTAGTCAGTGTGGTGTCACATTAGCCTGTAGTGAAAAACACACATGCAATAGTGAACATATGTATTTTGACAAATTAACAAGCAAAAATGAAGAATTCTCATTTGCTAATCTCACTGACAACACTGCACTGCGTGCACTGCAAGCAAAAATGAACTGCTGTGCTGCTGAGGCTCAGTTCCCAAGGAGATCTATTTGTGAGTTTCCAGCTGTTTCCAGCTGTCAGAAGGCACACAGAATAATATGAGGTGTGGTTATTAAAGACAGTTTTGAGTTAGAATGTACATATTGCAAGTAGCTCCATGCTGCTACAATGGATGAAGGATAGCCTGCAGGACTGATGAGTTCTGAGGGACTTCTATGATGACTGCTACTGTAATGCATTAGGTATGAGATTCAGATTTAGGTTCTGACTGATCTCTTGTTTTGAGGTTGTTGGAAACCAGACAGAGAAAGAGAGGTAAGAAGGCACAGAGAAAGACACTGTGCATACAATGCGACACAAAAACAGAAACAGAGAGAGAATTACCCAGAGTCTGGGACACAGAAAGACAGAAGGAGAGACGTTACTTAGCAAAGCAGAAACTGTGTCTCATTAGAACAAAGACACTTGTTATAACCAGAGTTTCCCACAAGTATTCCCAGAAATACTCTATAAATATTCCATTACCAGTTTTCCAGACAGACACACTTGGGATGTTCATTATGAAATACTTAGAATAGGTTTAAGGAGAATCAGAAACAGACTGGATGAAAGCCTAGCCTATTTCTGCAGACGTTTGTCTTCGATGAAATAGCTGCTTTAGGGCTGATGAGATCAATTAATGGCTCATATGCCTATATTCACATGCATCTCTCAATATTCTGACATTTATATATGAGTTTCCATGTGTGTCATGGTTTATGCTTGGTGTGAAAGAAATTGTAGGCCACACATTATCACCATCTCCACAGAAGGTCTACGTATACAGAAACATCTGCGAACTCAGAGACCCGGCAGAAATCAGAGGCAAGGAGGAGCTGCATGAAACTGCAGATTTAGAGATTTTCCTCTTTTGTCTGACACACATCGCCGCTGAATTATGTGGCCATGCTTATTTCAGAATTCAGCCTTTTCAACAACAGAGGGGACTGTGACACTTTGAACATATCTCCACAAAGACAATGCTTGCATGGGATTGGCTCGTCGTCTCCTTGGAAAGCAAGCTTTGATAATGTTTTTGCCTCATCTAACATCTTTCTTTCCCCTTCTACTTCACATCACTATTTGTATGATCTAAGATAGATGAACCTGAAGAGAGCCATTCTGTCTGCCATGCTGTGAGAGCTGAGATTAAAATCTCGGCTGTATCTGAATCATTCCACATAATCATATCTTTGACAAACAGCTGTGGTTTGCAAATAGCATGCATCCTTGCAGATCCTCTTTTGTGGCCGCATTGAAATCAGCAGCCCGTTATAAGGCTGAGCTAGCCCTAAAGAATTTTTCGCCTCATCTCCTCAGCCATACGTCCAGCTGAGTGAAAGAGCTGACAAGGTAGAAAAAAGCTGACACAGAAGTCTAATTCTATAAGGATAAAAACTTCATACTCATCAGAGACACCCTGCTCTGTATTTCTACAGCAGGAAGGCTAAGAGAGGAAGAAGAGAGTGGGCTGGTCAGCACGCAGTTTTCATAAATTTAATGAGCAGTATGGTGATTAATGGTGATTAGGTAAATAACTGGTTCTATGTACATTTTCCCACCAAATCTATAGTTAACAAGGGGGGGCATTTAGCTAACGAAGCGAAGATGCCATTTGTTCTCATCGCCTTCTGGGGTACAATGCCCAACTGAGGCTATTCACATAGACCTGTGACTGGTGAAAAATAATAATGAGCCAGCAGGCCTGTTAGATCAGCAGCATGGTAACTAAGTTTAACTGAGGCTTTGTCTGTCATGTCAGTGTAGCTGGATATCTGCCTTTTTCTCTGTCTTAAATCTCTATATGACTGTAATGACTGATTGATTTTTTGCTTAAACTGTAGAGGCCCAATCCATAATTTGCACTTTTAAATGTTAATAAGTCATTAATAAAAGGTTTTTGCAATCAATTCATGGCTGCAACAATAACAAGACGGGGGTCATTATCCAAACATTAGCCAGGAGAGAGTGTTGACATTTGTTATGCTTTAGCAGCCATTGAAATTATGACTCCTGAACATCAGGAAAAGAAAATGCTTATACAGTATTGTTCTGGAAGGCATGGGGGGTGTTTTGTCATTTAATTTGGAGTACGTGCTTGCAAGGGTGAATGAATAAATTACAATTACGTTTAACTGATATATGATCTATAGTATAGAATCCAGCACCTGTAACAAGGAAGAAATAATTGCTTTTCCTGGAATGGCCTTTTTGAAACTTTGGGTTTAAAAATAC